GAGGCCGCCACGCAAGGGGCAGCCGGCCAGCCAACCGGGCAGCCGGGCTGGCCTCCCCCGCCCGGAGGGGGAAGGACAAGACGTGGGAAACGGCCAATCAGGGCCGCTCGCGCTGGCACCGGCCTGGCCCTGTGCCGCAGCCCCGCAAGCTGGCCTGGAATTGTCGAGGCGGCTTCGGGAACACCCCGGAGGCAGCGGCTTGGGCTGCCCTGCGGAATCGCTCGACGTGGCTTCACGGTTAGGGAACGAGCAGGGCACGCTGAGCCGAGGAAAGCAGGTCACACCCCGCCGGGGCAACCCCTTGCCTCCAGCGGCACCACTGAGTGCGCCCCCCCCGCCCAATGCAGGGAACGTGCCCTGCAAAGGCACCAAAGAGGCCTAGCCTGATTCCCTCGGCTCTCCTTTGCACACCACTCCCATTACCATCCTCTTGCCTAAGTGATGCGTAACTCAGGTATTATTTCAAACTTTGATAGAAAAGCTTCAGTTGCAAAGGTTCGTTTTCTCCTTCAGTGGCATGAAGCCTAAAAAATGGTGAGCACTTCATCACTACCTTTCTATATCCAGAAAAGAAATTATCATGATTTGTGCAACATGACTCACGTGTGGTCCAGGGTCACTGGAAAATGTTTAGCAGCACAGGCAGCTTTTAAAGTGTTCCTTTTAACTGCAGATACTAGAATTTTAATCATCCATTCTCCCTAGTAATGAATCTGTGTTTCATTAAATTTTATTTTCCATAAATGCTCATTCATGAATGAATCAAACTGCTATATGATTCTATGGTCTAGTCAATGCAGGAATTCAGTCAAGATGAGGCTGCAAAAAAGTCAACTATAATATTACCCTAAAACAGAAGCCTACTCTCCAAATTTCAGAAAATAACTGCTGCTTTCTCTCGTGCAGTGGCCAGACTCCACCACCAATACTGCCCTGTTGTTGCCGGGCAAAACAATGGAACACATTATCAAGTAGACTTTAGTGAACATTTAGAAAAGAATGTATTGTTTGGCAGGAGCGAGCAGGGGTTAATCAGCAACAAGTTATGCCAAACTAATGCAATCTCCCAAGAACGACCAATTTAGCTGACCAGAGAACTGCAGTGGACATAGTGTATCTTGATTCAGCAATCTATTTGACAAGATTTCCCATGAGATCCTAATAGACAAGATGGCAAAATAGGGCTGGACTTAAACTACCATCAGACGCACACTATCAGAACTTGTTCGACAGCAGTATCCAGTGAGTGCCTGTCAGTGCCTGTGCCTCAAGATGCAAGGGTGTGTGGAGTGATGCACTGCAGATTGCATTTGTAAACATGTGTTATTACATATATTTATAAATGACTTGGATAAAGGGTCACAAAATAGTATTATAAAATTTGCAGAGGCCACAAGGAAAGGGGGACAGCAAATAGCTTTCAGGGCATTATCAGACATCAGAATGACCGTCACAAGCTGGAGCAATAAGCAGAAAATAAGAGGACCATATAACTAACACACATATGAAAAGGACTTGGGTGTCTTGTAGATTCCAAGCCAAATGCAAATGCAAGGCCAGCTATATCAAAAGAAAGACATTGTCAAGATCAAAAGAAGCCATGATTCTTCTCTGAGTTGGTCAGACTGCCCCTAAAAGACTGCATCCAGTTTTTGGTGCTGCATTGTAAGAAAGACATGGTTGAACTGGAGAGTATTCAGAGGAGAGCAGCAAAGATGATAAGGGGCCTGGAAGGAAAACAATTATGGGAATAATTAGAGGCATAAGGTATGACTTAGCTTGGAGAAGTGAAGATTGCAAGGAGACATCATGTTAGAGCTGGTTCTTACCTGGTGAAAAGCAGGCAGCTTGATACCAGATCTGGCCGTTACCAAAACAAGAAATACTTGGACGTTGTCCCTCTCTACCAAAGAGGTTCTAGCGCTTTACATAGAGTAGGAGGGGAAAAGAAGTGCAAGGATTTAAACACTGGTTACAGTGTGAACAGAACTCACATTCGATACGTAATAGTTGCTGGAATTCCTTCCTGACGGGCTATTGGCTCTTCCTTATCCTTCCATGCCTGTTTATCTGTTCCCATCCAGCTTGGTGGGATGGGTCCGACACAGGATGGCTGTCCAAGTATCCGAAGGGCTGTTGCGTATGAGAATTATTCAGAGCTGCTCCAGAATACAGGACGAGAAACAGAGGGCTCCAGTTTCAAGGAAGCAGATTTTTGGTCTGACTCAGGAAAAATACCCTAACCCTGAGAGCTCCTCAGCACTGGAACTAGCTGCCTTGGGGGGGGGGGGGTAATGCTCCTTCACTCAGGGTGTTTTTTGAAAAGAGGCTGGTTCCTTGGAGATCCTCCTGATCCACTGATTCTTGCACTAGTGGGGAGCTGGACAGGAGGATCTCCAAGGAACTTTTTCCCCCTTACATTATTTGGTTCTAAAGTCAGGACCTGCTCTTTCTTGCTCCAAAATGCAGGATGCAGAATAATGGATGGAAATTACCAGAAGCAGATGCCAGTTGGAATTTGTTAGGAACAAACTTCGCAACAGAAAGACCGGCTGGGCAGTGGACCCAGTGATCCAGACAAGTGGGGGGCTCCCCTTGGTTGGATGTGATCCAGTGGAGGCTGAGCATTTAACCTGATGGAGTTAAGGGTTGGTTTCCAGACCTCTGGTCATTGTGGGGGCTGTCCTCTGCAGCCGCTCCAGTTTCTCTGGTTCCCTTTTAAAACTCCACACAGTGGTCTGAGTGTGGTCTAACCAGGGCAGCAGGCAGCGACGTGGGGATCTCCCATGATCTGGATGCCTGGCTTCTGTTCACACAGCCTTTTAAGCTACTGCGTCACCGAGAGAGAGGTATGTACACATGCACGCACAACCCCCACCCCATCCACCAGGCAACTGATTGTCCAGCGGGATTGATCTCCCCTGTTCAGGAAGGTTGAAACCCACATGGGCAGAGCTGCACAAACGATCAGGAGAGAAGGGCCTCTTCCTGGGCAGTTTTTCAGGCCAGTACAGCCATGTTACTCGGGTGAGGGGTCAAGGTGGCTCCTGCCTTCAACATTCTCCTCTTTCTATAGCATAAAGCCCCCAAATTCAGAGCAATAACTCAAGACATAAATTAGGGGTCGTGCAACTGTCCCCAGATGTTTACCAGCCAAAGGGCCATGGGACTGATGGAAAATCCCCATAATGTAAGTCCCCCCCCCCCAGGGCTTGGACAGAGACCAGCTTCAAACTCTCCAATGCTTTCCCAATGCTCCCAGGAATGCCAGCCTGCTTTGGTATTAGTGCAAGCAGAGGCTGATTTGTGAGAAGATGACCAACTGGATTAGTGCCATGTGCTTCGTATGGGGCTGCCCTTGAAGACCACACGGCAGCTGCAACAGGTCCAAAATGTGGTGGCACGTGCAGTTCTGGGTTTCCCCATATTACACCACGGCACTGTTGGGTGAGCTGCGCTGGCTCTGTTTCTTTCCAGGTGCAATTCGAGGTGCTGGTTATCACCTTGAAAGCCTGGAGTG